GATTCACTGACTCAGTGGATTTGGCCATTCCAGGGATCAGCAGCGAGACCATCCTCAGGCCKGCCACCATCACCGAGGACGAGCTGCTGGATTTGATCGGCAAACTCAACAACGACGCAGCCGTGGATGGGCTCCTGGTCCAGCTGCCCCTGCCTGGTGAGCAGCTCAGTTCCCCCTCTGTGTTCCCATAAAGCTTTCGGGGCTGCCACATGTAGGGTGGGGCGGGCAGGGGGTGCTGTGTTCCGGTTTGGGTTCAGGGCTCCAGTTTGGGGTCGTGGCTCAGGGTCATGGCTCCAGTTTGGGGTCAGGGCTCAGGGTCATGGCTCCAGTTTGGGGTCAGGGCTCAGGCTTGTGGCTCCAGTTTGGGGTCATGGCTCAGGATCGGTGCTCCAGTTTGGAGTCGTGGCTCCAGTTTGGGGTCAGGGCTCCAGTTTGGCGTTGTGGCTCCAGTTTGGGTTCAGGGCTCAGGGCTCCAGTTTGGGGTCGTGGCTCCAGTTTGGGGTCATGGCTCAGGGTCGTGGCTCCAGTTTGGGGTCAGGGCTCAGGATCGGTGCTCCAGTTTGGGGTCATGGCTCCAGTTTGGGGTCGTGCCTCCAGTTTGGGGTCAGGGCTCAGGATCAGTGCTCCAGTTTGGGGTCAGGGCTCATGGCTCCAGTTTGGGGTCGTGGCTCCAGTTTGGGGTCATGGCTCAGGGTCATGGCTCCAGTTTGGGGTCAGGGCTCAGGATCGGTGCTCCGGTTTGTGGTCATGGCTCTAGTCTGGGGTTGTGGCTCCAGTTTGGGGTCATGGCTCAGGTTTGTGGCTCCAGTTTGGGGTCAGGGCTCAGGGTCGTGGCTCCAGTTTGGGGTTGTGGCTCCAGTCTGGGGTCATGGCTCCAGTTTGGGGTCAGGGCTCAGGATCGGTGCTCCGGTTTGTGGTCATAGCTCCAGTTTGGGGTCGTGCCTCCAGTTTGGGGTCAGGGCTCTAGTCTGGGGTCGTGGCTCGGGGTTGTGGCTCCAGTTTGGGGTCGTGGCTCAGGGTTGTGGCTTCAGTTTGGGGTCATGGCTCAGGGTCTTGGCTCCAGTTTGGGCTCAGGGCTCCAGTTTGGAGTTGTGGCTCCAGTCTGGGGTCAGGGCTCCAGCCCGGGTCTCAGGGTCCCAGCCCAGTGTGGGTCGGAGCTGCAGAGCCCCCTGGCAGCCCGGGGGTGTTTTGGGCTGCCCCCTGAGTGCTCTGTGCCCGTGGCAGAGCACATCGACGAGCGCAAGGTGTGCAACGCCGTCAGCCCCGACAAGGACGTGGACGGCTTCCAYGTCATCAACGTGGGCCGCATGTGCCTGGACCAGTACTCCATGCTGCCTGCCACGCCCTGGGGTGTCTG